CACACACACACACACACACACACACACACACACACACACACACACACACCTCCTGTTGGGATCAAAAATAATCAATAATAACTACTCGGCAGACTGAATCTAGAGACTTCAGTTCCCATGATGCTCTGGGGCATGGCTGCCACATTCAACTGGTTTGAATCACACAATCAGGTTTAATCAGCATGTTTTCTACCTGCTGCTCCTACACGGAGTGATTTGATTGGCAGAAAGGTAACCTTCACACAGTTGTTTCTACAGCTGATCCAAGTCAGAGACCAGATTCCTCTACACAAACACAAACAGCTGAATCACCTCTGCAAAAAAAAACATCTCTCAGCACTTCACCCTTCACTTGCAGAAACACCTGAGCTTTGTGCTGAAACTCTAGAATCCCAGCCTACCTTAGAGGGAGCGAGAAGCAGAACCCAAAAGAGGATGTCTCCAGACCGAGTCTCCTCAGGACTGCCAGGTCTCACTGATCCACCTGCCGCCCTGAAGACAGGGGGTGGAGCCTAATCTAATTAGCCTCAGAGTAGCGTGGAGCACCAGATGCCACGTGCTGGTGACTGACCTGCCCCACCCCACCACCTGCCCTCACACACACAAATACACGTCTCATTTTGATATCTTAGTGAGGACATCTAATTGACATAATGTTTTCCTGCCTAAACCTAATCATAACCCTGACACTAAAACTGCATTCTGAGTCTCAAAAATGTCCCATGGGGACAACCGTTTTGGTCCTCATAAGTAACTGTTTATACAAAGACACACACCCTTACCCACACACACACAGTCTCTTTCATTTCTCTTTGTTCAGGTTTAGTTTTAGAAACTTCATCACTCTAATTTTTTATTTATTTTATTTGTTATATTATTGAAAATCAGATTATTGTAAATATTAAATTTTTTTTAAAATGTTTTAGTTGTTTCTTATAATTATTTCAGTTATTTTTTATTTTTATTTATGTAGGGACCTTTATTTATGTTATTATGTTTTTTTAATTTATGTTTTTTCACTTTTTCCAATTCATTTTAATACTTTTACTTTGCGAACTATAATTTTGTACATTCAGTGTTCTTCATTCTCAGGTTTTTACGTTATTGTTTACAGTCATTAAATTAATTATTAAAAGATTTGTTTTTATTATTGATGTTTATTTTCTTTTTATCATGAGTCGGTGGATGTTTGTTGTTTGTGAACGTGGCGGATTTTAAACTTGCTTCTGCTTTTTCACTTTTTGCTCTCCTGCAAATCGGAGCACCACGCCTCGAAGGACGCGGCGTTCACTTGCAGCTTCGTGTGCGTGCAAACAGGAAACAACAGGCCTGACGTCACTCTGAGGACAGACACCCTTTGTCCTCCAACAGTGCCGCCGGCTCGCTCCAGCACGCAGAAGAAAGACGCCTCACATCCACTCTCGCCAACAAAGACTCATCTGTGGTTGACCAGGGCCAGAATCAGGACCGGGACCAGCAGATAGTCCTCAGGTCCACCTGAGGGAGTCTCACAGGGACACCCTTCTACAAGTTAAATAAAGTTTTTGCCAACTGGAGCAGCTCCAGAGAGTGCCCCTACAGAACGGGAAGTCCAGATGTGTTCAGGGAGCTCATAATTTAAGTCAGAACTAAAACCAGGGTCCAAGAGGAATAGGAAGAGCGTCTTACCTTCATCCATGGGGAGATCTGAGGAGGAGCAGAGAGTTCCTTCAGGCATCACCTGCAAGCATGCACGCGCGCACACACACACACACACACAGGAGACTGATGAAGACCTTCAGCTGTTTAACATAAGCGGCAGCAGTCAGTACGTGCGGTGATGGAGGAGGTCATGTGATCAGACTCACCTGAGTGTGCAGAGTGATGATGAAGGCAAAACAGAAACCGAGCAGAGCGAGGACTGAAGAACCGGACCGACAGAAACCTGCATAGACATCAGGAAGTGACACAATTCAGAGTTCACCTGTGATGCATCCACTGATTCCTGTGTGATGATTTTATGTTTAAAGCTTTTGAAGCTTCCTGTTCACAAACTTATTACAGTTGTTATTTTTACTGCTCATCTGACTGTCCACAAACTCAAATATGAACATAAGCACCAACAAATTCAATTAAAAATAATTTAAACAAAATATAATATAGTAAATAATTGAATTAATGACTGTAATTTCTTAGGTTAACAAAATGACTTGTGTGAAGAAAAAAGAAAAAAAAACAGGATTTAGAAATGTATTTATTCAATGAATTCACATTTTTACTCTTAAAATTCCTACAAAAGTAAATGAAATTTTTAATCATTAAATCTGAAGTCTTTCAGCTAATTTCAGTTATTGGATTTGGTTGATTTGATGAATCTGGATTATTCATCAGAAATAATTCATTAATAAAATGATTTTTTTTTAAAAAAGAAAAAGTCTCATTCCTCAGGCAGAGACAGAGCATGTGCAGACTGCGGCACCGCGCAGGTATGAACCTTGGGTGGTTTCCATGGCAACACATGAACGCGCACTGGTCAACTTTCCTGACATGGTTTTCTAGGTGAGCCTGATTTGAATAAAGTTTTGCTGTTTATAACTTTTAGATGAACAAAAGCTCAAAGTGTTTATGAAACAAACACAAACAACCAAACATAAAGAAAAAAAGGCAGCAGCGAGGATCAGCTGTGATCTGAGCTCATTAAAGCTTGGGCAACGCGGCTGTTTCCTCCGCGCGGAGCTCCGTTTAAAGGCGTCTAATTTGGTGTTTTCTGATTTTCTCTGCAAACATGTCTGAACTTGATCGTGTACTTTTTCTGAAACATCTGGGCCCGTCGTTGTTTTCGGCTCCTCGTGTTTCATCACACAGCCTAATCTGGACCGATAATCTGTGAGCAGTACAGACTTGCTCCCTGGTCTGACTGCTCCGACCGACAGCTGTAAAAGTTGAAACATCCAGGAGGAGACGCGGTGTCGTAGATTTGAGGTGCCCCCGCTCTCATCATACCCCCACCCCCAAGTGTCTGTAATAGGATTTGCGTTGATCAGCTCGTCTTTAAATGTGAAAATTTCCTAACGGACTTATGACTGACAATCAACACCTACACGCTACGTGCCTTTGCTGTGATGAAGAGGATCTGAGCTGAGCCCGGGCTCTTCCTCTGAGGTAGAACACTTCCGCGAGCACAGCCTGGAGAGTGACCCAGAGCCCAGGCAGGACTCGGAGCTGCTCCCGGAGGAGTTTGAGAGCCAAAAAAGTTAAAGTGTGGACTCACCTCAGCCTCATTTACAGCCGCCACAGCCCTGCAGCTGCCCCCAGCACTTTACAGGAAAAATAAACTCTGCAGCACGGCTTCCTTACGGTCTACGCCGACTCCCGCTGCGCATGCGCACGCGCTCCCTTTGAAAAGTAGAAAAACGACAGAAACTGCGCTGACGCGTAAAATACACCTGAGAAGCGGAAGGTGAAAGAAATGAAAGACAAAAGACACACGTGCATTAATCAGTAAGAAGAGGACAGAGGAGAACAGAGAGTTGAAGGGTGAGGTTACTACCTGTCAGCGCAGGTGCCTCTACATTTGGATGGACCGAAGGTGATAAGGTTAGTGCTGTCCCTGTTTTACTGGAGAATGTTATCACACATCCAACATCGCCATAATAAAACACATCAGAGCTCTGCAGGTAAATACAGGAGGAAAAATAGATTTGCATAAACGCAGCGTGTCATTCAAGCAGCAGCAATGGAGGCTGAAAACGAGCCTCATCTGCATTTCTACGTCATCGATTGAAAATACGCTGCGGAAGACATCAGCACAACCTCGTTCAGCTTTCAATTTGAAATCTGTGTGTTTCAGTAAGATTCAGTTATCCCAATCACAGCAGCACAAACAAATCATATTAATAAGAAAATAATTCATGAAGTAGAATAGCTCAAAAAATAAAAACATAAATAAATATGACAACCCCATCAAAATAGTTAAATCTTAAAAAATGAGAGAAAAAGGAAAAGAGTAAAACACACGAGCACAGACACACACTGTAAATGTGTGCACGGATCCGACACACCCAAACTGCACTGACCACTCGGGGGCAGCAGAGCTCCACAGCACCAGAGGAACCAAATCTGTGCACTTGTTCATTACTGGCTTTGAAACATGTTTGATTTTGATGTATTCGTGTCTGTGTTTTCCTGTTCGGTGGACTCGGACCCTCACAAATGTTTCCTCTGATGTTAGTAACAGTTTTAGTGCAGCAGGCTTCAGATCTGCCGATTAGTGAACTCAGACACATTCCTTCAGGTGGAGATTTGAGTCAGTGACTGCTGTGCGAGTCTGCAGATGTCTGTGACTCACAAAACCGTCGGTTACAGAACAGCGAGTCTAAAACAAGTCCCAACCTGTCCAAGGGCAGAAGAACAGCTCGTGACTCCGGCTGCAGCAGTGTCGAGTGTAACGTCTGAGAGCGCAGGCAGAAAAGTTTTCACCTCCGTTCTGGAGTGCAGTCTGACATGAGGCATGAGATTTGGTCTGATTAAAGTGAAATCCGCAGGCCGAGCTCTGGATCTCGACCCTGACCCACATCCACGCCTGTCACCCTGTCTGTAATCAGTCCAGACTCGACTTCCTGCAGCTGCTGGTTTCCACATTCTTCCACCCCATGATGGCTCTGGGAGATGTTCATTGGCTCCTGGTTCAATCCGATGTTTCAGCGAAATTGCTGAAGGACAGTGCTGATGTGACTAATGGAAGGAGTTGTAGTGATGATGCGAGAGGCGGGGTTTGGGGCCAGCTGCAGGTATGTATGGGCCTGAGAGGAACACCACAGAGAACACAGTTCGAGTCATCGATGTAACAAAGGAGTGAAAGAAAAAGGCAGTGCTACTGGTTGTGACAGGGGCCCAGAGTTGCACCCCCGGTGGACAGCACTTTGTACGAGGTCTGCAAACGGGCTGCTGCCAAGCTAGGCATCCCATGGCCAGCCGCCCAGGATGCCGAAGGGGC